GGAGGGGCCGCTGCGGGAGGCAGCCCCAGCCCCGTCCAAACCATCCTCTAAACCCCACGTAAAACACCATCAGCCCTGACCCGGCACAGGCCTCACCCCCGCCCCTGCCCCCAGGAAAGCAGGCGGGCTGCAGCTGCCAGTGTCCTGCTGCTGCAAAGCGGGTCATGGACGCTGCAGAGAGCCCAGGCCCAGGCAAAACCCCCCAGTGCAGACCAGTCTGAGCAGGGGAGAAAATCCCTTCCTGTCCCAGTGCAGCGTCAGGCTGAGCCTGAGCGCAGGGGCAAGACCCTCCAGCCAGGACCCTGCGGGGCTGAGCCCTTCAGCACTGGCCCAGCCCAGCCCCAGCCCCAGCCCCAGTCTGGGCTGCAGCCAGCATCCAGCGCCTGTGTTGCAGGATTAAACCCCGCCAACACGTGGAGCAGATGGGTGGAGGTGGCCAGCAGAGCCAGAAGCCTGGGACACCCCACAGCAGAGCGCAGGCTTCGCTGCGCCCAGACCATCCCCCCCTCCTCGACACCTCCAGTGATGGAGGCGAGGCCCCCCCTTCCCTGGCGTCTCTCCCACGGCCTCCCTGCTCTGACGGAAGTACCACCAAGCCAGCGTCACCTTGTCGGGATCACGGGCCACGATGCTGAGGTTGGCGACGGGCAGGCGGGCGGAGGCGTGCTCGGCAATGTGCCCCTCGAAGCGGTGCTGGGGGGGCCCGGTGAAGTCACAGTGGGGCAGGACGCAGCGGTAGAACTGGGGCCGGTTGTCGTTGACGTCGGTCACACGCACGGTCACCGCGGCCCGGGCTTGCGCCGTCCGGTTGTGGATGTCCAGGTTCCTCTCACGTGCCTGGGCATGGGTGGCACAGGCTGGTCAGGGTCAGGGGCAGGAGCCTGGGGGGGCTGCCATGGGCTCCCCCTACTTACCAGCACTTCCAGCAGCAACTCGTCGCTGGGCAGGCTCTCGCGGTCCAGGGTGCCCGTCACTGTGATGGTGCCCGTGGTGTCGTTGATGGCAAAGGGCAGGCTGATATCTAGGGTGAGGGGCCGAGAGATGAGGGGCAGGAGGCTGTGGCCAGCAAGGGAGGGGAGAAGCCTGGCCTCCAGGGTCCTGGCTTGGGGTCCTCGTCCCTGGTGAGAAGGCAGGCGGCAGCGCAGCACTGGCTGGCTGCAAGCTCACGCCCCCAGGCAGCTCCCTCTCCCCCACGTGCACCCCAGGGCAATGCCCAGACCCCAGCAGCACTGTGCCCCCCTGGCCGGGTGTAGGGGCAGCGTGGCCCCCTGCTCACTGGTGAGGCTGTAGAGGATGACGTTGTTCACGCCCGTGTCCCGGTCCATGGCAGAAACTGTCAACACCGAGGTGCCCTGGAACGAGGTGCAGGGTGAGGCCGGGTCCCCACCCTATACACCCCCATCCACTGGCACCCCTCGGTCCCGCAGGCTGCCCCGGGGCGGTGGTCCCAGCTCTCAGGGCCTGGGTCTGTACAGGGCATGGGGCCAGGCCCCCTCTCCCTCCACACAGGGCCCGGGCAGCGGGCGAAGCAGAGCACGGGTGCCACATACCAGCGGGCAGTTCTCGGGCACCGACCCCACATAGGGCTCGTTCAGGAACTGGGGGTCCAGGTCAGGCTGGTCGAGGACGTTGACGGACACCGAGGTGCTGGTAGTCTGGTACACCAGCTTCCCGTTCAGCTGGCCCCCGCCGTCCTGCCAGAGACGCCTGCCCGTCAGAGCCGCGCGGGCCGGCTCCCAGCCCCGCCCTGAGCCCCATGCCCCCCGGCCCCGGCCGCACCGTGGCGTTGATCCGGATGAGGTAGTAGGTGCTCTGCTGTATGTAGTTCAGCAACCCGTTGAGCAGGATGGTCCCGTTCCCCAGCACCCGGAAGAGGTCGTCGTTCTTGGCATTGTTCGGGGTCACCTGGGGGCACAGCGCATATGCCCGTCTGCACAGAGCCCTGGGGCTGCAGCCGGGGAGCGGGGCAGAGCTGACCCCACATCCCAGGACAGGGCAAGCCTGGGACCCACCCCCGCCCCGAGCCCTGCCCCTGCATCCACCTCAGTCCCCTTCCCTGCCGCGCCAGCACCCCCCAGCATCCATCCATCCTACCAGTGCACAAGGGGTGGGGGGACCTGGCATGTGCGGCTGGCAGGGGGAAAGCTGCCCCATCATGCCTGGCTTGGGCACAGCATAGGGACAATGTGGGGTCTTGCCGTGCGAGCCTGGGTGGCCTGGCCCAGCCCCATGCCTCCATCCAGGGGGTGGGAGCAGCTGCCTGTGCCCTGCTGCTGCCCTGCAGGTGGATGCCCTCAAGGCAGGTTCCCATCAGCAGGGAACGTCCCCTCTCGTGGGCACTCACCTCCACGATCTGGTAGGACACGCGGGAGGCAGGGCCGCTGTCCTTGTCCTCGGCCAGGACGTTGATGATGGTGGTGCCATTGGGCGCGTTCTGGAAGGGAAGCTGGTGTTGGCGGGGGCAGCTGTGGGGGCCTCTGGGGTGCTGGGG